TTTTTTTTTTTTTTTTTTTTTTTCTTTTTTTTTTTTTTTTTTTTTTTTTTTTTCCTTCCCTTTTTTTTTTTTTTTTAATTTTTCCTAAACTTTCCAAGTTAAAAATTCAACATTGTTTTCGTAGACTAAAAATACGTGGTTACAGTTGTGTGTTTCACACGAAAAAAATTTAATCAACTTCAAGATCCCAAAAATTACCCAACCGATTCTTTATACATGTAATATATACTTTCAACAATTTCCTCACACGGTCATATAAAACAATTATTTTGAGCTCGTGTACACTTCCATCTAACAAGAAATGAAATTCGCCTTCAGAACGTCATTTTATAAATGACGACGTGTTAAATTATCCTCGGCCAACGACTCCAATATAGATCGATGTACCACCCATTTATCCGTACCACCCCCTGCCATCATCATTATCTCTGTCATTCATTGTCCTCGATGGTCTCAGTGTTCATAGCGAATTTTTTTACCAAAGTGTGTGTGTGTGTGTAATCGTGTCTAGAGGGTCGACAGCAACTGACATGTAGCATAGACGTTATGAAAAGTCAGCTCGTCGATCTCTTCACGTTCTAGATATTTATACACAATAGAAACACTCACGTCGATATGTTATACCTGTCATTAACATTAATTCCACAATCTCGTATTTCATCGAACATTCATTTAGCTCATCTTTCACACCTCATCGATGAAAAAAAAATTAAAAAAAAAAAAAGATCCCTTGCTGTGCTACTTTTTTACGATTAAGACTTTCAGGAATGCATTTGTAGTATGGAATTTTTAATGCTTTTTTCTGAACTTTTACGTGCTGTTGTTATTTTCTCACGGAGATGTAAAAGTTCTGACTGGCTCGTTATTTTATTACTTACAAGCTTTGTCTATGAGTTGATGTACCCACCGCCAAGAAAACTTAAAAGCTTATTTTTATAATTCAAAGTAGTTTGAAAACAAAATTTTTTAACTGTTTGTACAATTTCTAACCTGATATTCGAATATGAAATATATGATAATGAATTAAATCGCGAAAGGAATAAATTAAGTGTTAATTTATGATATCAATAATAACTTGAAATAATAATTGAAAAACTGTATCCCTTGACAATTCGAAATAAAATTACTAGCTTATTATTACGACTAACAGATTTTTTTTACGAAAATGAAAAAATTGGCTCTAGTAAAAATTATTACTCGCATAGTTATTGCATTCTGAGACATTTATAACTCTGCAATTATACCATTATTTACTTGCATGGCATTTTTTTTTTTTCTGTTTTCCGCTTTATGGCTGAAATTGATGGATTGAATGAACACTATACTATTTTCCGAAGAAATACAAAAGCTCACTTATTCATTACATCAATTTCAGCCAAAGCTACGTTAGTACAGTGATTGTAGTAGCCTTAGCATGTTTTTTTATTTATTATTTTTTTTTTTTTCTGTATACTTTAACTGTCAATCAATTAAGAAAAATATTCCAATGATCAACTTAATCATTGATATTGAAAATTTTCGAAATTCTACACACCGACGAAGGGCTAAGCATTGATGATACTAATCAAGCACTACTTTTCTGATCGAGTCTGTGACATCTGTAACATCGTGTAAGGTAGAAAGACTTTATTTACACGTGATTTCGTTTACCAAAATAAATTTCAATGTGGGAAACATATTGAATGATCCCCACGATATTTGTTAAATAAACTAAAATGTAAATTAATCGAGTCGTCATTCAAGCCCCAAAATCTCAGTGTTCAACCCTTCGATTGGCAGTAAAAAAAATTTTGAACAACAATTATTAATAGCTAAGATTCAATGAAAATTGGCTTCGTAAAAATAGAGAACGCATACACGCAATGAGAGAGAAAAAAAAAAAAAAAAAAAAAAAAAAAAAGTAGCGAGTACAGTCGCGCTAAGCTAAAGGGCCGGTCGTGTTTGTACGTTTTCGGAACACCATAAGCAGGCCCAAGAGAGACACGGCAGCGCCGAGGACAGGATCCAAAGGCTCGAGACGCAACTCGAGGAGAAGACCGGCGAAGTGTTGCGGCTCAACCAGCGGCTGAAAATGAACGAGGAGCACAACGCCAAGCTTAGCACGACCGTCGACAAGCTTCTCTCGGGTATGCACTTCGGAAAAAAGAAAAATCACTCGGTGTACACATGACGATTTCTTTTCAGAATCCAACGAGAGGCTGCAGGTGCACCTGAAAGAGCGCATGCACGCGCTGGAGGAGAAAAACGCGATCCAGCACGAGCTGGACAAGTCGCGCAAAGTGTCGGAGGACCTGCAGAGCGAGAAGACCGAGATAATGAAGGAGTTGGGCAAGGCGCGGCTCGAGATAGACAGCGTCAAGCGACAGATGCTCCAACAGGAGATAGCGTACAACATACAGCAGACGGACGCCCTAACGCGAAGCTTGTCGCCCAACGCTGTGGATCCGGGCACGTTTTCCCGCAGCGCCAGTCACAGCAGCTTCGACACGCACTCGCTGCCCAGGCGGGCCGCCAAGCGCATGGAGGAAGAGTCCAAGGTACGTGTCATTGGGGCTTTTATACCTCCTTTTTTTTTTTTTTTTTTTTTTATTTTTAATTAAGTAANTTTTTTTTTTTTTTTTTTTTTTTTTTTTTTTTTTTTTTTTTTTTTTTGCTCGGGGGTGCAAGGGCGGGATGATTTTGTACGCGGTGTTGAACTCATCTGTCGTCTCGAGTCACAGTCACATAGTTACGTATGATTTTTATATCAACATAAACAGGTGCAAAGTGTGTCTCGAGATGGGGATTCCGAAATAAGATGTTATTCCTCAATCAAACGGTCACAATCAAAATTTAATTTTTCATTGAAATTTATACTCATCAACAATTAAATTTCATTGATTACTATTTTCATTAATTGGTTTGAAAAATAAGTATGTCACGAACCTCACTATTCTTTGCTTGTTCGCTATTCAATAAAATTTAATACATTATTTAAATTGTAAAAAATAAAATTACAATTTTAATTGAACCCTATTAATTTAAAATACCATTAAATTAAATTAAACATTTATATTTAATTCTTATTTGATTGTGATTCGTGATTTAATTTCATTATTTAGAACTCTACTCTCGGAATACACAAAGTCATCGATGTGAATACATTTTTGATACTGAGATTTTTTAAATAGTCTTTAGATTATTTTTTTTTTTTAAGTATACGTAGTACGCAAGAATAGAATATGTTTTACAAAGTGAAAAATTGTCAAAAATGAATAATAAGTATATGTTAACTTATTCGTTTACATAAAAGCGGTATACCAAAAGATTTGGACTCTTGCCACCAGAGAATAACTATGCACTGGTGAGCATCGCAAGTATTTTATAATTTTACGATTTCATCATAATACGAATCTTCAGTGCATTTAGATCATGCATATTTTAAATACGAAAAGCCAATTAACAGCATATAACGCACCATCACGACGGTAGTGTACCTTACATGTAACAATTAACATCATGCGTGTGATAAAACATTTTTCCCTATCTACCCTAGATAGTCATTACCCTTAAAATAGAAAAAATTTGCAACGATGATACCCAAGGTTTTGCTGGTAGCAAGAATTTTTTATTTATTTTTTTTTTTTTTTTTCNGCATTGTTGAGAAAGTAGGTAATATGTTTCGTTTCGGTTCGCAGAAGTGGCACTCGGGGGCGGCCAAGGCCGCGCAAAAGTGGGCCGAGGCATGCTACGCGCTGACGCACGACAACGCGACGGGCCTGCACATCGACGCCTTCGGCAGCTGCGGCCAAAACATCTTCATCTCGACGGCGCAGGTGCCATGGTAAGTGTCCATACTCGCGTACAATTTATACACGCGTACTTATTTCCTTTTCTTTCCCTCCGCGCCCACGTCCACGCTTGTAGGTACGTATACAGCTCTCTTCTTTCCCGTAATTACCTCTTTCCCGCCACGCGAGGAAATTCGCAAATGGCTCGCTAATGGCCACCCTCGAGCAGCAACTATAAGTATACCCCATCGGGATCCACGTAGCGCAGGTAATGTCGATTCGATGGGGCCGAGTCGCGGTGTGTTAATTTGACCTGCAGCATCGAGCGACTTTGCTTTTCCTTTTCTGTTCCATTTGCGCGTTTTCGCACACTGTCGTGGCACCGATAACGACGGTCTGTGCCATTTTTCTTTTTCTCTCCTTCGAAACGGCAAAAGTTCTCCTTCCCCTTTCAAAGACTCGTTCGTATCTCTCGAGTCCTCGGGAATTATTTCCTCCACATAATTATGCTCCCATGCGGATGTTTATAAAGTAACTATCGGGTCTGAGGTACACGTAATATTGTATACACCGAGGTACAAAATGAGGCACGTGATAAGGTCCTGGTGGCGTTGTACTTCGACGCGGGGTAATCAGAGCCGGAGCGGAGAAAAGTAGGTACAGGTCTGCCGATCAAATGTATCCAGTTTCGAGGGCATTAGGTGCACGCAGTCACGGGATCCGTCGAACTCACCCCCATCTCCGCCAAGAGAGCACGAGAGAAGCGTATAGAGGAGGTTCGCGGTGTGTGGTATCGAACCCGGAAAGACAGAGGGCACACGTGCCGAATCGGGAATACGGATGGACGAAAAACAAGGGAGAAGGTATCTTAATACGGGCACCACAAACGGAATTGTCTTTAAAAATAATTGTGTGGAAAATGAAAAATTTTTATCAAAAGAAAAAAAAAGTAAATTATTATTCTTCAATACCATTGTTTTTTTTTCCTATAAATATTGTTCTCTACTTAATGTCCTTCAGTGTGAACGTCGGACTGATAAAAAAAAAATTTTTTGTCTGTTTTTATTTGTTTAATAATCGCGATGACTTTTTACTAACCACATTTATATGATCGATACAAAAATTTGTTACCTTGGATATGAAATGTAATGTACAACAAACAAAAAAAATTGGTGTTTTTCTGTTTTCTCGTTTCATCAAACCACAGACGTGTCGGACAGAGCGGATTCCCCATGAGCGGCGGCTACTCCATGCACAGGTTAATTGATAATTTTGACGCTGCATGCTTTCCTTATCACACGTCTCCGCAGATGCGCTGCGCAGCCATTAATGGCATTCCCCGCCGCGGGCTGATGGGCAGCCTTGGGCACTTGCACCCCGAACAACCCTATGGTAACCCACTGTGGATTCTTCCCACTCAATTCCAGTTGCTGTCTTTAAATGTTTGCCGTAAAGTAATTAATTACTCGTAATCACAACCTTACGACTGTACAAGTAAATATTGTCGAGTTAATTTCTTTCAACTATGCACGAGTAAATATTGAACGTAATTTCTTCTTTTTTTTTTTCCTTTGTTTTTCAACAATTTTCTGTAAAGTTGATCAATACTTGTATCGTGAAGTAATGTTAAATTTAAACAAACGCCTCGTAAAAAATTCACGGCAAAGGATTAACTTTTCCCTAATTGCCTCAAGACATCTGCCTTTGCGATGACAAAAAATTTTTCACGAAACAATAAAATACACGAATTGCATGAAGCGCGAAAAGAGCTTGAGGCGATTAGCCGGCGAGGTTGTTAATTACAATAGAGAAAAATTTTTTTTTTTTTTTTTTTTTGCGACAAATGATGATAAAGCAATGAATAATGATAATGGCGCAACATATTGATGAATAGACGATGTGTTTTGTTGATGTGCATCCTCTCGTAGGAGGAAAAGCAAAGTACAGAGGCGCGAGCGGAAGAGCTGGAGTCAAGGGTGGGTAGTTTGGAACATATGAATTTAATAGCACGAGGCCGAAGTCTCGAGCGTGCTTCTCCTCCACTTAGTGGCAGATCCACCCCAAAATCACATCACAGCCCCAACCGAGACTACTTGCACAAGTACCATACTGTGAGTAACTTATCAAAAAAAACAAACAAAACAAAACAAAACAAAAAAAAAAAAAAAAAAAAAAAAAAAAAAAAAAAAAAAAAAAAANCCAGTTAATCACGGTAGATTATCGAAAACCTACCCGAATATCCCAAAGGGTTGTGCCCTTTTTTTTTCAACGCACCATTCGAGCCCAGCAGCAACGTATATAGCACATTTCGCAAACTCGTCTTTTTTCCCGGTTCTCAAGTGGTGAAAGAGGCTACCATCAAAAAGGTCAACCCATTGCCCTCTCGTTGATTGATCTACGTTTGCGTTGGCAACAAGTTCACCCCAGAATAATTCAGCCAACGACGCGAGATAAATCCCAGCCCAGGCGCGACTGAACATAGATCGTAGATTTTACAAAAGCCGGGACGAATTTTTCAGCCCCTGCGTTGATTTGACGCGTCTTGCTCTTCTGGTTTCCCTCCACCGAGGAGCCGTTAAACGATGACGTATCCCTTTTCTGCTTAAACCCGAAGCTTTGAGGATGGAGAGGAAGTTAGGACTTGCAGATGTTTCACGATGCCGACTTGGAGATTCTCCTCATACGTTTTTGCGAGTGACAAAAGGTCCGTCCTTGGAACGATTACAAAAGCAAGTCGATCGAAAAGAATCAGCGCGGAAGCCGGTGATTACCGGAAATTGGACGAAAAGAAGAGTGAATTTCCACTGCAGCTACGTCCAATAGGACAGCTATAATGGAAATAATGACGAGACGGTGAAAGCTCGGGGCGGTAAAGATAAGCGACTCGGGTCACGCGATCTATACATACGCACCGACGCACACGTGTACAAAGCGATGGTGCGTTTTGACGAGCCAGCGAGGGTGTACGGAACAATGACGGGGGAGGAGGAAGCGCTGCGGCCGTAACGGAAATATGCGAGGGAACCCTCATTTCACTCACTGATGGCTGGGGAGTGGGGTGATGCTGGTCGTTATTAATTTTTGGAAAAGGTTGCTGGTTGAGGGTTACGGAGGGTTGCATTCAGGGATACCTTGGGAATACTTGCGGTGAGTTTTGACTTTTTCATGCCTTTTTTTGTTTTGGCCCAAGTTTGATATTTACTATGATCTGTACGATGGTCAGTGTGGCTAAGGACTATGAAAAATCGTGTCTGTAATCTTGAAAGTACCTATGCGTTGGAGACAATATAAAAACAGGATGATAAATCGATGGAAGATTTCAAATGAAAATGTAGGAAGTTTTATTGACTTTGGAGATAACTGGCAGAGCAATTGCTAAGATTATCCATGAAGTATTCACAATTAGAAGTAGAAAAACTTTTCTCGTATATTAAAAAAAAATTGTTAAAGACATGTTGAGTTCGCTTCCAGGTCATTGGGATTCATAAAAGAGTGTACACTAAAGTTGTAATTAGGAAAATTGTAAAATTATTATGATAATGTGCAAAAATCTGTGGAGTGTCTTCGAGAATGAGAAGTCTACGAGAATGTGAACAAATAAAATTAAGAAAGAACAAGAAATTGGAGGTGCCGTTTGTCAAAAAAAAAAAAAAAAACTGTTTGGTTGAGCAACGAGTGGTTTGGTGGACGTTGATCTTGGTGTTTCAGGCACCAGCGTCAATGTCCCCAGCACATCTTCATCAATACGCCGCGTCTTTGGCTAGTCCGGGCCAACTCTCCGAGTCACTTCCTGCGAGCCAGGTTCGTTTTTCCTTTTACAAGGAGGTCGTAGGAATCTTGAGTTTATTTTTTATTATTTAAATCTTACTTCGGGTCCTCTGTTTTGTTTCATCCGTTATCATCGTCATCATCATTTTTTCCTACTAACCGACAACTTTTATATTCATGTATACCATGTGATATGTTAACGGTGCATGATCCGGTGAATGTTTTTAATTTAATTATTATGAAAAACAACGTACTCTAATTTACTAACCAATTCATACTTTTGTCTTTGTTTTCTTCAATTTCATTTTTCAAAATCACTGTTTTCATCAAATCATTTGAATTTTTTTACACAATTGAAAAACTACTCTTTTTATTCTTATTTTTATAATAATTATTAACTTTTATCTTACAATTGTTTTTATTTAATAAAAATTTATTTTATTTTCTTAGGTATACTTTAAATCAAAAGTTTTTCATAATGATTGAACGATTGAATTTATATAGACAAGTTTATACTATTCATGTAGGGTACCTATATAAATTGAATAATATACTCTACAGACGCTGTTGACGAAAAACGTGATCTGTTTAATATTTATTTAACGAAATAAAATTAAGTTTTTCTTAAGTTTTTAGAGTGGAAAATATGTTCATCAATAAAACCGGTACAACATTGATTAAACAAAATTTCAAAAATGCCGTTAATTATACAATTAAATTTTTATTTAATGCAAACAATTTTGAGTAAATATTTTTTACAAAGGAACAATGTAAATGATGTTCATTCGGGACCTATCTTTTTTCGTCAAAAACTCATGTAACAATCTAGTGTTGTTTTTACCGGAATGTCGACTCTCGTTCTTCGACTATAGCGTCGACACGTTTTTGACAATCGAAAAAACAATGTCATCGACCTTTGCAAAAGCAAATTTAAATGCCCCATATACCGCGTATATGGAGCGTGTCGATTGTCAAGGACGAAGACGTGGTGATGGATGCGTGTGAATGGCGCATTAAAGCTTCATGTTTTTGGTGGCCACGCAGTTACAGCTGTCCGGTGAGGAGTTGCACTCGGTGTCGGAGAGGGACAGCACGGGCTTGGGCAGCGGGGGCAGCGAGGCGGCGTCACCTCTTACGTCGAGGTCCATGAGGTTTAACGCCCACCAGGCACTGAATAGCAGTCAGGAAGAGCTCCGAAGGTACGTGGTCCTTATTTTTTCTTCTTCTTTTTCAATTCTCTAGCTACGAAGCTTTTGCTCATTATACATAATACGCAAGCACAATTGGATTGAACCTTTTTTTTTTTTTTTTTTTTTTTTTTTTTTTTTTTTTTTTTTTTTTTTTTTTTT